TACGGTAAAGTAGATTGCGAGGCCAACGCCCTCTGTCAAGACGAAAAGGACACAGGCCAGCACGTAGCGATGCCACCATTCTGCTGACTGTGCATGAACTCTCCTCCGGGGGCACCTCTGAAACACTCCTCACTTCTCCTCCCAACTCCTCCGTGCGACCATACCTCTGTGTTGTACACGTTTGTGTACGCATATACATGTATAGATCTATATATATATATATATATATATATAATATATATGTATATATACATACATATATGTACATATATCTATATATATATATATATATATATATATATCGCTCGTACCCAATATATACATATATATATATATGTATATACATATCTATACATGTATTTATATATGAATATATCTCGGACACCGTGCCGCAAGGCACTCAGTCGGGTGTCCGCAGGTTCCCTCGAACTCTCGAAACCCAACATATTAGATGCGATTGAAGAGCACCTGGTCCCAGACTCCAGCAATCCCACCATCCCTTGAGGGCGTGAATGGTTTAGAGCGTTTCGTCTTCCAACCCTCTTCTTCCCCTTCGGGTCAGGGTTTCTCACTGCTCCTTCTGAATCTACAACCCCCTCCCCCACCCGACTGTGGGCCAACCCAAGACATGCCACCCACCCACCCCGCCATCCCTGTAAAAAAAACCAAACAGAATTTGCCTCCAACTCTGGAGCATGCGCGGGCGCCCCGCGACCACTCTGCATTCGTGTTTGACAGGGACGGCGGGGGTGCCGTCATATTGCTCGCTGCGCGCAGGCCAACCATCCATATCAACAAAAAATAAACATCATGCACTTTGCCTCAACATCCGGAGCATGCGCGGGCGCCCCGCGACCACTCTGCATTGGTTTTTGACGTAGCCGGCGGAGGTGCCATCATATTGCTCGCTGCGCGCAAGCCAACCATCCGTGTCAAAAAATAATACATAATGCAGTTTGCCTCCACATCTGGAGCGTGCGCGGGCGCCCCGCGACCACTTTGTATTCGTTTTTGACAGGGACGGCGGGGGTGCCGTCTCATTGCTCGCTGCGCGCAGGCCAGGCACCCCATGTCAAAAAAACAATACCGAATGCACTTTGCATTTATCTGGAGCATGCGCGGGCGCCCCGCGACCACTTTGTCTTGGGTTTTGACAGGGACGGCGGAGATGCCAGCACATTGCGCAACCGTGGAGCACGTGCCACACCTGGTGCGCCTGGCTCGCTTGGGCCTCCAGGGTGCATGGTGCACCTGGAACCCGTGGAGTGCATGGCATGCGTGGCACTCCTGAGCAGTATGCTGAGACTCCCTAGGGTGCTACTTATGTTGAAGGGGCCCTGCGACACACAAATAAATACACACAAATAACAGGACTCCCCATATTTTCCCATATTCTCTGGGTTTATATCTTCCCCCCATATTTTCCCATATTTTCCCGGGAGTGGACGATTAATTGTGTCTGTGTGTTTTTTCGCCTCCTGAAAGTTGGGAGGCCGGGTGGGAGTAAGCGAGACGGCTTGTGGGCGAGAGGGGGGCCTCGACCACTGTTCCCTATTGGTATACACCCCCTCCCCCAGGCGACTGGCAGCCAGCCAGAAACCGCGAGGACACCCTGCTCACCCCACCCCAGCCATCCCTGTCAGAAGACAATACGAAGCGCACCAGAGTGCGAAGAGTGCCCCACGAGGCTGCCAACCCCTCCTCCTCCTCCTCCTCATCATCCTCCTCCTGATCTTCCGCGCAATCCTCCCCCATGTGTGCCACGATGGGTTTGTACAACGGCCGGGGGAACACGTGGTCCGATAGCTTGGCAGAGCTCTTGCCACAACGCTCGGTCACGTGGGCGATTCCACAAGGCAGGGGTAGGCGGGAATTCGCCGTAGGCGTCTTCGATTAGAAACGCCTTTTCAAGCATGCGATGTTGGTTTTATGATGTTCCAACCTACTTTAGCCTTGATCACTAGAAAGAATGTCGAGTACCGAGAGAGTACCGAAACTTGAGGGTTTTCACGTGTCGGCACTCGTTCGACACTCTTTCGATACTTGTCTGGGTGCTCGAGATCATGTCTGGGATGTGGTCCTTACGTACGAGGGGAGCAACACAATTTGGCGGCGCGCAGGGGGGGGGGGGGGGGGGGGGGGCTTCTTAGAAGCAGGCTGCTTCTTAGAAGGCGCCGCCTTACGTCTATAGGTAAGGCCCGCGCCTTCTAAGAAGCAGGGGTGCTTCTAAGAAGCCCTCCCCCCTCCCCCCCCCACCCCCCTCTGCGCGTGGCTGAATAATGATGGATGTTGATGAATTGTTTGGAATGTCCTTAGCGGCATCGCCATGTTCGGGAGCCTCGCGGGCACTCTTGGGCCGGCTGGACCGTCCGCGTTTCGGGCCGGATTGGACCGTCCGCGTGCCGAGCGACGTATTCTCTCCCTGTTTGGGCCGCCCTCTTTCGAGGATCGCATGCTCTCCCGACTTGGATGACTACCTACCAGACCACCCCAACCCAACCCGAAGGCCCGAATTTCGGGTTGGGGGGGGTATGGGCTCCATGTGTGTTTTTTCGATGTTCCCGGACCCCCCCCACACTAGAAATCGAGGGTAAATCTGAGCCTTCGGGTTGGGTTGGGGTGGTTTGGTGGGTGGTGATGGACCGCCCGCTGTCCAAATGCGGCGTTTTCCCAGCTCGGACCGTCCATCTCTGTTCGGAGCTGTCACAAGGAGGGCGTACAGAAACCGTGCTTCCCCGATTGAGCCGCCCGCTCTCCAGACCTCTGGTGTTTTCCCGTTTGGACCGTCCGCTGTCCGAGAGTCGTGCGTTCTCCCTTTGGGCCGCCCGCTTTCCAGAGCCATGTTCTCCCTGCTTGGACCGCCCGCTGTCCGAAAGTCACGTGTTCCCTGTCTGGACGGTCCATCTGCGCTTGGCGTCTGCGGCAGCGGCCAGGTGGTCCAGAACGAACCGGGCCAGTCTAGCTCATGGTGGCTGGGCCGTATTCGGGCCATCTCGGGCCATATGATGACGAAAGAGACGACAATGACGATGACGATGACGATGACGATGACGATGACGATAATGATGATGATAATGATGATAATGATGACAATGATGATGATGATGATGACGACGATGATGATGATAATGATGATGATGAGGAGGGAAGGATGAGGATGAGGATGATGACGATGATGATGATAATGATGATGATGATGATGATGAGGAGGAGGAGGAGGGGAGGATAAGGATGAGGATGATGATGCGGATAATTATGGTTATGATGATGACGATGATGACAATTGTAGTGATGATGATGCTAACGATGGTGGTGGTGGTGATGGTGATGGTGATGGTCATGGTGATGCTAATGATAGTGATGGTGATGGTAGTGATGAGGATGGTGGTGGTGATGATGGTAAAGATGATGATGGTGAAGATGATGATGATGATGATGATGATGATGATGATGATGATGATGATGATGATGATGATGATGATGATGATGAT